AGATGAATCATGTATATATATCCCTATATACCATTCAATTCACACCATGAATTATTCAGTCCATTATATGAATTCCTCTCCCGATTCATTCACATAAACCCAATCAACAACATCTAACCTCATTTTTAGTGCATTTTCTTTTCTTTTTCACATTTCTAGGGGTGAGAATTGTTCGGTTAAAACCGAAAAAATGAACTGAAATTTTTGGTTTTGGTTTTAAAAAATTTTGGATTCGGTTTCTGTTTTCAGGATTGGAAATTCGGTTAACTGAAAAAAAACGAATTAATCGAAATTTATTATATACATAATATAATATATATTATTAATATGTAAAACATAATATATTATAATATGTATATAATATACATTATATAAAATATTAAAATATATAAAATACATTAACATTTACATATATTATAATATACATAAATATATTAATATATATAATTTATAATATGTATTAGTATAATATTAATAAAATTTGGTTTTAGCCGAAAAAAACGAAAACAGAACCGAAAATTTTGGTTCCGGTTTTTTAATAATTTGGTTTTGGTTCGGTTTTATGTTTTATAAATTCGGTTTTTAACCAAATAAACCGAATGCTCACCCCTACACATTTCTGTGAAATGACTTGTGTTAGACTGGTATCTCAAAATATACTCAGCTTAGAACTATCTGTCTTTTGGGGCTTAAGTGACTAATTTTTGACATTTAAATATTGACATAACATGAAACTTATAGTGTAGTGATTTTCATTTTAATTGCGCTTCATCAATTCATTGTGCTATAACAACTTTGTCTTGTCAATAGCCACTAAAAAATATCATTATATGACTTGTCAATTTTTTAGTTAGGAATATTTTATTTAACCTATTTATGCAATCACTCTTTGTTTAGCTTATCTGCTTATAATAACCACTGATCACTATACTGTATTCTGACTTCAATTCAGATGGGAGCCATCACAGATGTAAACACAGTTGCAGCTGTTTTAAGGTACCTGTCACGAGCTCCCAGATTGCCCTCAGTGGATTGGGGATCCATAATCAGACGCTGCATGAGATATGAGGATCAAATATCTGGAAAGTTATCCACAGGTCAGGCTGTTAAGAAAGGAAACCTTAGACAGGAGTGCATACAGTTCTCATTAGCTCATGCAAACCAACTGAGTTCCCTCCTCTTTTTTCTTGATGAACTCTCTGACCTTCCAAGGTTCAGGACACTAGAGTTGAATCTGCAGTCATTCCTGCTCCGTCATTTGGCAGACCTGATAAAAATTTTCTCTGGTTCCAGGCTGGAGAAACTGTTTGATCATATGGCTGATTACATATGTTCTCCAACTTCTTCATACCAGGTTTATAATCCAGCTCAGAAAAGTTACTTGCGAGTTTCATTGTGGGAGGGTCTGAACCTGTGTCTTGATGAAGCCTCCACTGAGTCTGCGGAGTATCTAACAAACATGGAAAAGTGCATGGGGTTGCTATTTGCCTTCTTGCCTGTAATGCACTTTGATGCCAACCTTGATCCTGATCAGGCAAACTCTCATAAAGAGTGGTTAGAGGCAGTAAGATGCTTGAGAAAGGCTCGTCATGGCTACCTAATGAGTCTTCTGGAGGTATATAGTCCTGCTAACAATTATCTGATATGCAGTTCAGAATTTAAGTGATCTTTCTTTGGCATCTTAGCCTTCATTTGATTCTTAATAACTTGAACTGCTCTTCCTACCATACAGGTTCCAGAGGTGGGTTTAGTACAAGGAAGACAATTAGCAGAAACCATAAAAAGAATTCAAGCAAGAGCCAGGCTATTTATGATTGGTTCAGTTCCATTCACTGAGTTGGCAAAATTAAAAGCTTATATTCTGAACACAGAATCAGCTGGTTCGTTTCTAAACATAAACAAATTATACATGCAGCTAGTTCATAACTATATGCATGTTAGAGTTGTGCATAAACATCAATGTTTTAGCATGATGGCATGCATGCCTTGGAATATATGCATGCGAAAGAGCAAGCTATGATGAGCTTTTCCAGTACTGTATTGATTTTATGACTGTTGGGTTCGAGGTTGGTCAATGTAAATCCAAACCATTTAAGGTTTGTCTTAAGAGTGAGAAATCAAGAAGAATAAAGAGAACAACTAGTTTGATGGTGTGGATCTGATAGGAGTTGTGCACTTGAAGGTCAAACTTAAGCCTGCACTGCTTTGGAGGTTTCAGAATCTCCTTAGTTTTACTACCGATGTGTATTTACTAATTTTAGAATTACTGGAGTCTTGGGTAGTAAAACTTTTTTTTTATCTTCTTCTCTTAATGGGATGATTTAGTCTATTTTGAGAAAATGGATTTTTAGGTCATGGGAGAGTTAGTTTGTTATGGGTTATTGGGTTTAATATCATATAATCTTAGTTCATTTTTTCTTTAAGGTGCAGACGCCTTCAAAACCTCTAATTGCTGGTTCATAGAGAACCTATTATTGCAACTCTTTGTGACTATTTTTTTCTACAAGTTTTTCTATAATCTTTAATTTGCTTTTTTTCTTCTTAAATCCTAAATAATCACTTTTCTCTTAGCTAACAACCAATGATTTCCATTAAACACTCTCTGTAGCATTGCAAGAACAGTTGATAAGCCTATCCCTAGTAGTTTTCTAATGTCTTCTTCTTTTCTCCTGTTATATAAATGCTACCATGCCAGAAACACTGTAGCATTCCAAGAGCAATTATAAATCTATCCTGAGTAGTTTTCTAAAATTCTTCTATGATCTTTAATTTGATTTATTTCTTCTCAGAAATTAAATAGTCTTTTTTCTGTTAGCTAACAACCATTGATTTCCATTAAACATTCTATGTAGCATTGCAAGAGCAGTTGATAAGTCTATCCCGAGTAATTTTTTAATGTCTTTTTCTTTGGTCCTGTTATCTAAATGCTACCATGCGAGAAACATCTGTCATGTCCTACTTGACCAGCCTCAGGTCAGTTTAGATACCATTTATTTTCTACTAATTTCTTTAAAGCTATTTCTGGGTATGCTTGTTCTTAGATCCCCTAAATTGAACTACCTTTCTATTTTATCACCCATTTTTCTATTGGTATTCATTTAATCTAGATCTTAAATCCTTTTCCTTTGTCAATCATGAATATCCATTTTTTTGTCCTTGATATCTAGGCTGTTTTTCTACATTTATTTATTTAAACCTTAGAATAGACTTATTAAGTTGTTTTTGCATGCATTGGGCTATATATACTAAAAAATCTGGAAATTCAAAGTTATTAAGGGTCTATGAATGGTCTTAGGTTTTCTGAACTGAGAAACCAATTAGTTGCCTCAGTTGGGGATCATGTTTAAGAGTGATGGAAGTGAGAGAGAAGGGATTATGTGATCTTTTCTTTGGCTTTATGTTTTTACAGGTCTAATGAGTTCTCCAGTTAGTTGAATTGATTATATAATTTGAGGTTAAAACTTAGTATCAAGCATAGCTAGTCATATTAAAATGTTTAAGGGTTTGGTTCACCTTGTCGGCCACTAAAATGTTCTAGGCCCAGCTTATGGTGGTTGATGAGTTGAACCAACATGCATTGCACATATGTACGATACTGGGATCATGCATGTATGACCAGTGTTTAGAAAATGAACCGGACCAGCCGGTTGGACCCGTTGAACCATGACCCGGGAAAAAAACGGGTCAGAACCAGTGACCCAGATGGTCAAATCGGAAAATTAGTGACCCAGTCCTGGTTTTAGAAAACCGGCTGGATTTTGACAATTCTTTTTGCACATAAATGTGAACTTCTAAAGGCCATAACTCGGATGTCCGATTGGGGTAACTTTTTGCGATCTACATGTTTCCAACGTGAAAAAGGCGCTTCGCCCCACTGTTTTTGCTAAAAAAACGCCTTTTGCTTCAAATATTAATTTTAATATAAAAAATTGAAACTAAAATAAAATATATATGTTATAGAAGAATACAATTATATATTTTGAAAATATGCATATAATTAATATTATTATATCTATAATTATATATCATATAATTGTGCATATTATATAATATATAATATATTTGTATAAATTATATTACATTACATTATAATATAAAATAAAATAAAAATATGTTATAACATAATCAATGCCCAGTCCGGTTCTCTGAACATTGTATATGACTGCTCCAGAGATGACAATGCAAACATCCAAGGCTTTGCACTTTGCTTGTAATACTTATTCTGCACTTTTTCTTTATTTTTTCAAAACTGCAGGTATCTGGAATGTATTGGTAGAAGTAGTTTCAACTCTTCAACATGCAGATGGAGGTATCAAAAGGCAATGGCTTGTTGATGCAGTGGATATTAGTTGCATAACAAATTATCCTTCCACGGTATGAACATGTTCTATTTTGAAGATATGTGAATCTAGGGAAGATACTTGTAAACTTATGTTGGTTTCTGAATGATATGTTTCAAAAATTGTTACCTGTTTCCAATCTCTCTTTTTTTTTAATTGCACACTCATGTGATTATTTGTTGTTTTGGGGGATATGTATCAAGAGATACAGAACAATACAAAGAAATGACATGTATGATGCATGATGTTTGTGTCTTATTGGTCAGATATATAGTTTGCAAGGCTTAACTGTCCATATATAATATAGTTTCTCATTTCTTTTATTTATGCATGAGTGCCATTTTAAATATCTACAAAGAAATGACATGTATGATGCATGCTGTTTGTGTCTTATTGATCAGGTATCTTATATAATTTGCAAGGCTTAACTGTCCATATATAATATAGTTTCTCATTTCTTTTATAAATAATTTTTATAAAGAATTCTGGATGTACAAGTAAACTATTGTGGGCAAATTGAGTGCCATTTTAAGTGTTTTGCTGACTTGTGGCATATGACATTTAGGAAGAAATTCTGCCATAGCTGCTACTGTTTAATGTTATTTGTTAGATAGCTACAATTTGATTTGTTGATAATATTTAAAGAGTAAGAAAGAATTAAATCCTTTGTCTTTCATAAATAAGATGGTTCTGACATTTCTCTCTTTTGCTTCTTATAAAATTGTTGTCACTGCCTCTTTGAGTGATACTTTGGGACCCCGGGGTAGAGAGATACTCCCTTTTTATTCTTATTCCCTTGTTTTATGTTGTTTTCAGTTATTTCTCTTTTTCAAACATTGTCTTTTCTTCTATGAGTTGTCTTTTGTAAAATCTAAATCTTCATAGAAATCTTAGAAGGCATGGAATTTTGGAAATGAGGATCTCACTGACCCTCTAAAGGTGGCTATGAACTTCTCTTCCTTGAAAGATCCTAGAGATTCAGTTCTTGAACCGATTGATTTTTATGCCAGGTGCTTTGGTTCTTTATTCCGTCTACTCTCGCTTTCAATGAAAAATATTGGGAACCCTCTTTCATGTACATGTTCAAAGCATTTGTTTGGGTTATGGTTCTCAAAATGATAATTGCAAGCAATATGCTTCAAAGAAGGAACAAGGAATGCCCTTCTCATGTTTCTGTGTGGTAATCAAACCTTCTCTTTTTTTCCATAAAGCTTTAGGAATTGGAGAGGTAATTGGGCAGTGGAAAGGGGAATTCATTGGGCTAGAGATGTTAGTGGTCGGACATCAGCTACACTGCTATGTTTTGGTCATTTGGGAATTAAGATATTACTCTTAGAAGAATTTCAAGTACACTGAACATAATAGAGATTATTAAGGTGAAGTATTTCTAATTTCCCATTCAAAAAGAAAAATAGAAAAAAAAAATCATCTCTTTCATTAAATGAATAATGGGAACTTTGTTGTAGAGGTAAAGAACAAATGCAAATATAAAGGAGTAAGATAAAAAGTAGAAGGCAAAAGTGGTGTGGAGGATGGCTCCTTTTGCAACATGTTAGGGAATTTGGAAGGAGAGAAATAGAAGAATATTCAAGGGAAGCAACAAAATAGTAGATGGAAAATGGTTGATATCTGTTCATTGTTTGAATTAATGATGGCACACTCCAAGTTTGAAGTAGGGGAGCAACTTGGGTTGATAATTTTTCAAATTTTGAATGGGACCAGCTCAAAAGCCCAGGCCCCATATAGTGTAAATTCTTCAACTTGGGTTCTTGACTTAAAGTGTCCTTTGGTGCTGATTTTTCATTTTTGTTTTGTTTTTTATGATTTTTTTTTTGACATTTTGGTTTAATTGTGTTTCTGTAAAAAGTAATTTTTCCTTGAAGGTGAAATCTCTTCACCTTTTCTTGTAATTTCATCTTTTAATGAAAATTTAACTTATTATAATAAAAGTCCAAAGCTCACTTTAAGTCAGCATAATATAAGAAAGACATCTTCCAGTGCTAGACTTGGTTAGTTCATCCATTGGACGTCAGCACTCATCAAAAAGTGTTCAATAAGAGAGCAAGGAAGCTAATTTCCTGTTTGATCTGAATTAACATCCATGATCCACTACATACCCCTGAATCTCCATTTGTACACAAACCTGATTTCCTAAGTAGACAACTATCAAAATGTTTAAGTTCTCCTTAAAGCACTCCAAGGCTGTTAAAGATTACATCATGATCCAGATCAGATCCCAATCTTATCTTAAGCTGGATCTGAATCTTAAATGGTAGAGGCACTTGTAATCAGATCACAATCACATTTACCTCAATCTTGTATGATGTAATTGATACCAGATTTGTTAAATATACTTATTTCTTATAGGAGGCCATTACCTATTTCTGTTCCTATCTGCCCAGGCTGGACTTGATGTGGACCTAAGTTGTGACATTTTAGTACAAAGTGGCTCTCAGTTTCAACCCTTTGATATTTCTGTATTATATTTTTAGCATAGTTGGTTTGAGACTTTGAGCACTTTGATTTGTTTTTAAAATAAAATGTTCTAGGTTCATAACTCAGAAGATATTTTTACTTAAATATCGAGAATATATGATATCCAGCTCTCATCTGGTTCTGATCTGAATATGGTTGATATTCACTTCTGGAGCATTAACCTTGGTCTTTCTGTTGTCACTTTTTCCTCTTTTTTTGGAAGTTTTTCTTGGCTGGAAGGAAGTGGGTTTGGACTTCTAAGGTCCTTTCTGAATGGGGGATTTCTTGGGGGTTTGGGAGGGGGGAGGGGTTCTACATTAATAGTTCCAGTCTCAGCTTGACAGGGTATCATTTGGACCAGCTGAAAGCTGAACTTGCCATGGCTTCATGTGTCCCAAAGCCATCTATGGGGATCTGATACATCATCAGAGCCCTGAACTGGTCTCAGAGATATGCTTCCAAATGGAATCTTTCTCATTAAGGATTCAATTAAAAGAACTTTTAGTGCCACATTGTTAATATCATAATTTAATGCCTTGGGAAACCCATTTGTTGAGCTTGATTGGCTATGTAATTGCCCAAAACTTCTGAACGCCTAATTGTTGGAAAGAGAGAATTTGATTAAGAGTTAAATGGTTAAACTAAATGAGGAAATTTGGTGGACATGAATGGAATCATTTCATCGAATTTGTCCTTAAAATTTGGCATCATGAGTTTATGTTCTAAAACCGATTTATTACAGGGATGTCACCAGAAACATAATTGAAGTCAAACAAACTTTACTTCTAATTAACAAACAAAGCTAATCCTTTTAGGATGATAAACCCATGCTTTCAAAGGCATGAAAAATTCAAAATAAATAATTTCATACTACATGGCTCCTAATGCTTGGTTGTTTCTGTTTATTTATTTATATTTCATATTACCATCCAGATGTCCACTGATATGTTTCTGTTTGTTTCTCTTCTGACAAAATCTACTTTTATATAGGCGCTGCAATTTATAGGCCTATTATCCAGTAGCTGTTGCAAATATATGCCTCTGCTGGTTCTGGATCCAGTTGCTGTGGTGAGTGATCTGCCAATTACGCTTCCTTCTCTTTTGTCAGAAAGCAGCTGGAAGGAAGTTGCAGAATCTGTAGTGTTGAGCCTATGGACATCAACTGAACGTATCTATGGTTGGGCTTCACATTTAGCAAGTGGAGACGATAACTTTAGTTTGCAGGGTATTGACAAGAGTGAGAACGTAAATGGTCTTTTCCTTTCACGTATCATGTATCATGTTTGTGTCTCCTTGAAACACTACTTGCCTCTTGAGAAGCAGTTGAGGCTTGCCAATTTGTTTTTCTGAATGTACCAGTGTCGCAGTTAGCTGTATATAAAGACTCAATGCTAGTAATTGGGGTAGAGCAGAAAAATAAAATACAACTTGGTGTCAGCGTCACCATGTGGGGGTGATATGATAATTTAGGTCTACCAGATAAGGTGTGGTGACTGATGACAAGACTCCTGTTTTGCCATTCCACTCTCTACTCAAGTATTCTGCCATATCCACTGTTCAAGTCTCTTTTTGGCCTGCCCCATATTCCTTCTAAATACTTCAGTTTGCAATAAATGACTTGTTGTCTTGTTCTAACCTACGGACACAACTTGAGTACTTGAGTTGGAAGATTTTACATTGTGTTGTGCTCGGACCTTCGGATTGGGTCCATTCAAAATTTAGCAAAAGCTCAGCTGAAGCCCACGGTTGCAACCCTATTCTCATTGATGCTGTACATGGTCTGTTTTTTGCATGTGATAAAGCCACTTTGGTCCTTTTCTTTCATTTTATAACCTTTTGGGGCTATTTATGAACTCCTACCAATAGTTTCATTTCCTATCCCATTTTTCATAGTTTTTTCGCTCATCCATCTCAATATCATTATACCAATAATGGTCATTGATCCATTATATACATGTGATGGACAACTGCCCTACAAATTATCAAATTTTTTTCACTAAAGGAGTGATATCTCTTGATGGACTAGATAGAAAAATAACGAAATGATATACTACACATTATACTGTGACACTATACATCAACCTAATCCTCATCTGAGTTAAACTCACTTAAATTGATGTTGCAAGGACAATTTGTCAACTAAGGTTATGTTTGGTTTGAAGGAAAAGTTAGGGAAAGAAAGGGAAAGACAGGAAAATCCATATAAGGTTTGTAAAGATTTCCCTACTTTTTCCTTCGAACCAAACGTAGCCTAATTGATTACCTCATATTTTGATTATAACCTTTGTAGAGGTGTCTATTGATTAAAGTTTCAAGGCTATACAAGGAAGAGTAATAATTGAGTATTAATCATAAATTAAGTGACAATTCACTTCAATGTGTTCGGTCCCCTTGTAAAAAAATTAATTTGGAAGTTATCTGAACCGCACTACAATAAGGTGTTGTGGTTATCTGAATTGCTTTTCCCGTTGGGTCAACAGTTTAGTGGTTTAATTGTTTGGGTGTGTGAGTCAACTCATGATGTCTAGAGAAGCCAATGATTGGGATAGAACCAAATTGACCTAATCATTCTATTGATTCTGGTTTTGAGTTTTGCATCCCAATAACAGTGGATCAGGATCAGTTTTTGCTGTTTCGAACTGTTAAAACCCAAACTGGTTGTGTAATTAATGACATAATTGTTTGTTATTAAAAGGGTAAATCTCATATTACATATATATATATATGATAATTTTGGTTAAAGAGGCTTGTTTTATCAAACGTACATACAGTTCCCAATTTAGTGCCGTTTTTATTTAGATTAGTGTTAAAAAAAAGTTCCATAGGTAATTATCGACAACGTTTAAAATATTGATACGCCTGATACGCTGGTAGGGGTGTATCAGGGGAATCGATACACATTTGTATTGCTTTTTTTATATTTTTTTTATCACAACCGGTTCAGGGGGGCCGGTTTAGGTCTACCCCGGTACCCCCTGAACCAGTCAGACCTCCGATACACCACTGTAGGGACGTATCAAAGGGGTCCCAGAATGATACGTATCAGTCGATACGGATCAATGCGTATCGATACTTTAAACCTTGAGTATCGAGTCTGCCCCAATTATCCCGATTAATAGTTGATTCGATTCTGGCTCTCTATTTTACAGAACTTATTAATAATTTGTTTGAGACTGGTTCATCCCACTGACAACTCTAATGGTGTTACTGTTATTAGTAAAAAATTAAATTAAAAATAGTACAAAAAAGTGGTCACTTGGGGATGGCAACGGGGTGGATTTGGGGAATGTTTTGTAAATTTTAGACCTACCACTTTTCTAAACCTTCTAACCTGTAGGGGGTTGAATTTTGAGAATCTAAATCCTCCCCACATAAAAATGCAAAACCCTCTCTGACCTTACCTTCCCCACATTCAAGGGTAGGGACAGATTAGGTTTAAAACCTGCATCTAATTTCCTATTATTTTTTATTATATATAAATAATAAATAAATAAAATAATACACATAAATAACAAAATTTTTTATTATCTTTAACATAAAATTCAAAATATCATTAAATTTAAAACTTAATATATAAAATTTGTATGCTTTCCAACAATATCCTAATTGAGGTCGGCTTTTGCCTTAACACAATACCCTACCCAAACGCAAGTTATAAAATCCCAAAACCCGTCATTCACGAAAATACCCTCCCCATCAGGGGTACAAATTATCATCCCTAGCCGTATGGCGGTATGGGCCCATGGTCCCACTGATTGATTAATCCTCAATTGTAGGGTATCGGACGATTGGGTGCCCAAGGGCTTTCGGGAACTTTTTGCTTTGACAACGCACTTTTTGACTTTCCAGTGGTTCTGTGCCTTAAGAATTAAAGCTTCTATGCAGTATTGCAGGGTTTGAGGGCTGTAATCTGCCTGAAGTCTCACACGCATGTCGTGGCACTGAATTTGGTTTCAGTCCCGCTGTGTAGTTGTTGTCAAGTTGACCACGACGATCCACGAGTCAAAAAACATGAAAACTCGTCAACCATTTACATAAACTGAAGTCGATTTCTCTGGTATTAAATAAAAAATCGGTATTTACATATAATAAATACATGGAGATGGAGTTCCTAGTTTCGTCTAGTTCCGGGAGGTGGCGATCCATAACCAAGTATCTTTGGCTGATTTCGACTTGGAGATGGTGGTCCAGGAGGCCATTTTGATCTTAAACTTCGAGGTGATGCCACTCTCTTTCCAGGAATCACTCGACTTCCGCATTCACTATCGGCTTTATTGCTTGGATTCATCTTTCTTGAGCTTTCCTGACATCCTGAAAATGTTCCTGAACCCATCTCATCACCTTTCAAGAGCAGAAATAGAAATTAATTAACCATAACAGCCAAAATTAAGATTACCCAGACGAACGACATGGCTTTTAACTTTCATGAGCTTAAATCTATTCTCATTTCTTAGGCTTTGGTACGTGCCCCGGCTCTGAGCGAGCATGCCTACATCTATCCAAGTCATAAGACTTGTTTGGATAATTATCAACACTTGCGTGCATGTTTTGCTGAAAACACGAAATTCATTAATTCTAAAACAAGCTGAGGAAAGAAGAATACCAGAAGGAAACAAGGCGGCATTTGCTGAAAAACAGCGTAAAAGAAGGAAGAGTCCCAGCAACATTGCTACGAATAGCTTTGCTGGGAACACGCTTACATCCATCTATCTCCGAATTTCTATTCCGAGGTCGTCCGACGGCATCTAGACCAGTATCATGGATATACCGTATACGAGAGAGAGAGAGAGAGAGAGAGAGAGGTGGTTACTTTACTCGCAATGGCGGCTGCCATTCAATATATGAGAGAGGGCGTGGCCGGAGTTGGTTAATTGGTTCTTCATTTTTGTTGAGTCGCTTCCAGAATATAGAATGTTCCTTCAAGTTATATATATATTCTGGGTTGTGGGTCTCAATCAAGTAGGTTGCTTCGTCACCATCTGATTGGAATAAGCAGTGGAACCCACCATAAGGTGGGACACACAAACAAAGTTTGGTGGCCTAAGTACCACCGGATCTCCAGTTTAGAAATGGATAATTGGATATAGGGCAACTGATTACGAGGGTCAATCACTCAGTTGAGACACTTGAATAGAATATATATATATATATGAGTATGTCAACTGGCATTCTTTTGTTTATTTGGAATTAGGTAAACACGGATAGAAGGTAGATGAGAAGATTAAACTGCTGCTGAGCCCACAGTTTGGAGTTGGGACGACCATCTCTTGCTCTTGGGTCTTATCTGTCTCAAGTGACAGAAGTTGAGAAACCAGCAGAAGCAAACCAGACCAGTGTATTATCACTATTATGTACTAAACTGATGTGTTTCTTGAAATTTCGCCAGCATTTTGGAAATGAGGCTAGCTTTGGCTATCCTTGTATTGTATTGTTGGTTTATGGTTTTACAGGCGAAGAAGATGGACGCCATTCCTTTGCTTTGGAGACCAGTTCGAATGGATTTACGTGATAAAGAGATGTGGTAGAAAATGAAGGTGGAGATTGGAGAAGGGTCGCCAGATGGCAAATTGGACTGGACGGAGAGGAGATCTGAACACACGATTTTTGGTGTTTGGATCAGGTGCATGATTTCTTCGTAGAAGAGGCCTTTATTTGGTCTCTGACGGGCTCATTCTGAACGGCAGGGGATTTGGTAATATTGGTTGTCTTGGGCTGGGCTTTGGCTCTGGCTTCATTTTGTACTTGGATTTAGGGGTGGATTCGAGCATAGCAGAGCCGAATAGCTCAGCTTGCCAAAGGCAGTACGAGGCTCGGGCTTGAGCTCGACTCAGTTCAAGTTCGACTTGAGAAAAATGTTTTATAAAATAAAAAAATAATTATTTGATATTTAAAAATTAAGAATTATAATAACTAGTTACTAGTGGAGGGGGCCCTGCGTTGCAAGGGCTCACTCATAAACTATCAGGCTCGAGCTCGATTCGAATTAGAGATTTGAGCTCGAAATGGAACTCAGCTCGAGTCAAAAGTTTGAAAGTTCGAGCTCGACTACCTTTGATTGCAGGTCTCTCAAGCAATCGAGGTGCCAAGCCGAAGTCTCCCTCAATTGTCGAGGTGCCAAATCGAGGTCTCCCTCAACTGCTGAAGTGTCGAGATGAAGTTTCCCTAGCAGGTGAGGTGTCGAACTAAGGTCTCCCTTAGTTGATAAGGTGTCGAGCTGAGGTCTCCCTCAGTTGTTGAGGTGCAAAGCCGAGATCTCCCTCAGTGACCGAAGTGTCGAGCCGAGGTCTCCCTCAATGGTCGAGGTGTCGTCTAGCTCGAGCTCGATTGAATTAGAGACTAGAGCTTGAGTTTAGAAATTCAACGTAGATCCCTTAGTAACCGAGATGCCGAGCTAAGGTCTCCCTCAGTTGAAGAGAGAGTGGCATTTTTGTAATTTATAAGGAGAGAGAGAGAGATGGAGGGAGAGAGAGATGACATTCTTGTAATTTGTAAGAAAAAGAGATATATATAGAGAGAGAGAGTGGCATTATTGTAATTTTCATAAAAAAAGGCACAAGATACTATTAGATTCCATTTCCTTCATCATCAAGCCTTCTTACGTACACATTTCAGCTTAATATATTTATATAGATTATTATTATTATCATCTCAAGCTTGGCTCGATAATAAATGAACCTACAACCGAGCTTCTCACGAACCGAACTCGAATAGCTCGTCTCATGACCACCTCTAATTGGATTGACAATTGAGACCAGAATTGGAAATCCAGACTCAACAAAATTGTATTCATGAGTTTTTTCTTTTCTTTTTTTTTCTGTGGTGAATCATATTCAAGATATCCGCTATACTGTCATTAGTATCATGAATTCAGTTTCACCCAAAGATGAAAATAGCTGTTGGCAACAAGAGTTAAGGAGTACAAAGAAGCACGAACTTCCCGTTTATGGTTAGGCATGACATGTCAAGGAATTGACCATTTGACCCTAAGTCTAGGTTGGGCTTGGCCCCAACCAGTCCAGGTTAATTAATTGGGCCAGCTTCAAGTTCGGCTGGCCCAAGCCTATTCTGAGGACTAAAAATCCAAGCCCAGTCTGTGTAAAGTTTTGGGCTGGGTCCATTTGGACTCAGGTTGGGCCTGCCCAAATTGCCAAAGACAAATCAAGTTCTTGTCTTTACCAAAGCGGAGATGCTCTAATTTGAGAAATGTCCTCTGAGGGCACTAGATTAGTATTGGGGACAAGGCCAATCTGGATGAATCTGAATTCAAATTGAATCAAATCCATCGTATTCAGTTACTTACTATATGCCATCAATAAATAAATCAAACATTACTAAAACACCATGCCTTGATAAAATGAACTAGAATGGCCCCATATCACATATCCATAAAATTAAGCCAAAAATAGCTCCTGCGACTGCAAGATTTGAACCTACAGTCCTTTGGTAAAAAATTTATATAGATATATGCATATATATTAAAATTATCATCTGTTTCAGTCGAATTTATCAAAAGACTAGAGATGACTGAAACTTAATACAACCAACATCCTGCAATTAAGGTCAGTCTACATCAATCTATAGAGTATTGGCTGCAAATTTCTAAACACTTCTAATTAAGCTCTTTCATATCCACCATATGGATCACTTCGATGATCACATCACCCAATCAATGGGAGCTGTTTTCCTTTCATACTATGATATGTACATATTTGTATAATTCATTACTTACATCTTTAATCAATTACAGAAAGAACAATAAAAAGAAAAGAAAAGAAAGAAGCAACTTTCAAACGTGTATGAAATATGTTGGTTACATCCATGGTACCCACCAGTCATCTACTTGTTCAAATCCATGGTACCCAGTCAACAACTTCGTTTACCACCTTTTAGGTACTTCCTCATCCTCTACAACAAAAACAGGGAAGGTGGTGGCACAAGATATATTTGCCAATAATTCATCACAGTTGCCCAAAATTTCTGTGCTACCTATCTGTTCAGAATAAGAAAATCCACTACTGAAGTACATATCCATCTCACGTTTGTAACCAACCCCTTTCCATGAACTGATTGGATTCCAATTGGTTTGAATCTCTGAGATCCAGCAATTTGGTTTCAAATCAGAGGTGGAGTCAAATTTTACCTTTGAATTGAGTTTACATTCAGGAATCTCTGACATGGCTAGATTGTAGCCCAATATCTCTTTTCCTTCATATGTTCTCTTGTTCATATACTTGTAGCACTTGGTCAAGCTTACTGCACCAAAATCAGGCATTGAAGATGGTAACGAGGCAAATACAGTGGGGAATGCTTTCTCAATTGAGACTGAAGTACCATGAGCTAAACAACTGTTATCATGTCCTGCAAGAAACTCTTTTTTAGTATTACCGAAGACACAAGATTAAGAATGAAGCAAACTATGTCCACTAGGACCCCAATAGGCTGAGAAGGCACACTTTCAATCTTCTTCTACATATTAGTCCTAGCAATGTTCAAGATTGACCATTTTAATGGAAGAGAACAAATGAAAATCACTTATAGAGTTTAACATTGAGATATAAAAGCTAAGAAAATATATACATATATGATATTATGTAAAAAGAAGAGTATTTTACTAGTAATGTACTAGATAATACTGACAATGATAATAAAAACAAAAATCAGGTATAGAGAACAAGAGCTGGCAGAACCTATTTCAGCAGAAGCAACAGTTCTGTCTTCTAGATTCAAATCCTGCCTTGGAAGTTTTGTTTTTGAGATGGTGAAGCAATGGAACTCCTCCAAATAGCCATCATTATTCCCAGAGCCAAGCAGCTCGGTTGGAAGATTTGAATTTTGTCCCTCCAATCTGAATGACTTATAATCATTTGGGTGATGATTTTGTACCTTATCTAGATCAAAAAATGGGGAATCAAAGGAAGGGTAAGGTTTCTTGCTAAGGGAAAACAGTCTGTCATCCAACTGCAAAAGCTTCTCATAGTGCTTCTGTAGAGTTCCTTGAGGGAATTGCAGAAAATGTCTCCTAAAACCACATAATAGAGGAAAAAACAATAATTTAGTGTTATTAGTTGATAGCATGAATGCTGCATGAAAACAAGGAAAATACAAAAGTTATATATGGATACAAAGCATCATAGTTGTCGAGGTGTTGCCTAGGCGACTAGGCGCCCTTGGCTGGGCGCCTCACCCAAACGCCTTGACTTTTAGCAACTAGGCGCCCACCTAGGCGACAAAAATGACAAGGCGGGCGCCTTTTATAATATCATTTATATTGCTGTATCTTATTAATGTATGTGTTAATACATTTTATTATATGCTATATATCAATTATATTTTGTTTTAAT